TATGATTGCACCACTGTACTCCAGCCTAGGTGACAGAGCAAGACCCTATCTCTAAAAAGAATAAAAGTAGGCCAGGCGCAGTGGCTTACGCCTGTAATCCCAACACTTTGGGAGGCTGAGGCAGGCGGATCACAAGGTCAGGATATCGAGATCATCCTGGCTAACATGGTGAAACCCCGTCTGTACTGAAAATACAAAAACAAAATTAGCCAGGTGTGGTGGCAGGCGCCTGTAGTCCCAGCTAGTCGGGAGACTGAGGCGGGAGAATGGCGTGAACCCGGGAGCGGGAGCTTGCAGTGAGCCGAGATCGCACCACTGCACTCCAGCCTGGGCGACAGAGTGAGACTGTCTCAAAAAAAAAAAAAGAAAAAAGAAAAAAGTAGAAAACATGCTTTGGTGCATAGGAGAAAGTAGTTACATTTGGTGAGGGGTAGCTCTGCGGGTGAGTGAAGGGACACTTCACTTTTGACTCCTCTCTTTATATGTTGCTTGGATTTTCCACAGTGGTCAGTTACCTTTGCAATTAAAAAGAAAATTTTGTTTTGTTTTGTTTGTTTTTTGTTTTTGAGACAAGGTCTCACTCTGTCACCCAGGCTGGAGTGCAGTGGCATGATCATGGCTCACTGCAGCCTCAGCCTCCTGGGCTCAAGTGATCCTCCTGCCTCAGCCTCCTGAGTAACTGGGACTAGAGGTATGTCTAGTCTTCCATGCCTGGCTAATTTTTTTTTTTTTTCCTATGTTGCCCAGGCTGGTTTGAACTCTTGGGCTCAAGCAATCCTCCCACCTTGGTCTCCTAAAGTGCTGAGATTATAGGTGTGAGCCACCATACCTGGCCTAAAATCAAATATTAAATACATTGTAACATTTATTATATTTATGTATTATATATACTTTTTGTATAATTTGAATATATACATATATCATCTTTATATTTGGGGCTGACTTCTTTGTTTATGTAGTGTTTGTTTCCAAAAGCTTCCTTTATTATCTCTCACAAAAATGAGAACAGAATGCACACACCACACCTATCTGCCCCACATTCCAAAACCATTAATTTATCACATTGGAAGAGATGTTTTGTTTTTTTCTCTAGGTCTCTTCTGTGAACAGAGATCGATTTTTGTGCATTCTGAAATACCTATTTATTATAAGAACTCTGTAAATGGTTAGCTAACATGGCTTTAATTCAATCCTAACATACTCCTTAATAGAGAGTTAGACCTTTTGTCCTGTTTCCCAGGATCTGGACTCCCATTCCATAAGCATCGCTCACAGGACTACTCTGCTTGCTGGGTACAGGAGAATAGGAGGCTGAGTAAGCCCCAGGCTAGTGGGACAGACACTTCCCAAGCCAGAAACCCAGGAGTCTTCTGGGACACCCCCTTTTGCTCACTCTGTCCCTAATCTCGAACTGGACCCATCTGCCTGACCTCCTACCTATTGATCTCATCCCTTCGCCACCCTGCAGGCCACGAGCACCTCCTCCCTGGACCACCACACCAGCCGCCTACTGGTTTCCCTGCCTTCCCTCCTGCCCCCATTGCTAACACCTTCTCCACCCCACAGCCGAGGGATGGATCTTTTAAAAATGCAAGTCAAGCCTAGGCAACATAGCAGGATCCTGTCTCTACAAAAAATAAAATATAAAAAAACATTAGCCAGGTGTGGTGGCATGCACCTGTAGTTCCAGGTATACGAAAGGCTGAGGCAGGAGGACCGCTTAAGCCTGGGGGTTTCAGGCTGCAGTGAGCTATGATCGCACCACCGCACTCCAGCTTGGGAGACAGAGCAAGACTGTATTAGAAAAAAAAAAAAAAAAAAAAAAATGCAGTCCAGGCGCGGTTGCTCACACCTGTAATCCCAGCACTTTGGGAGGCTGAGGTGGCCAGATCACTTGAGGTCAGGAGTTTGAGACCAGCCTGGCCAACATGGTGAAACCCTGTCTCTACTAAAAATACCAAAATTAGCTGGGTGTGGTGGTACACACCTGTAGTCCCAGCTACTCAGGAGGCTGAGGCATGAGAATTGCTTGAACCCAGGAGGCAGAGGTTGCACTGAGCTAAGATGGTGCCACCGCACTCCAGCCTAGGCAATAGAGCAAGACTCCTTCTCAAAAAAAAAAAAAAAAAAAAAAAAAATTGCAAATCAGTCATGTTCCCATCGCCCTGCCTCCATTGGGTTGAACCCATCAGTGTCTCCCATGACTCTTAGGGTGAGGACCAAAGCCCTCACTGCAGTCTACAGACCCTTGAGGATCTGCTCCCTGCCTGCCTACCCAGCAGCAGGCCAGAGCTTGCCCAACCTTCCTCCACCCTCCCTTACTTCCTCAAATACACCATGTTCCCTCCCACTTCAGGGCCTTCTGCTAGTCCTGCCTGCAGCCTCTCACTTACTCCTCTCACCTCATTCATCCCTATGGAGCTTAGCATTCGGCTTTTATTTCCCTTCTTCAGGGGAAGCTGCCCCAGTCCTATTACAGCAAACCCCCAGCTATTTGCTCCCATAGTTCCTATGCAGTTATTTATTCAGTAGCTGTCTCCACCACGGAGCATTGAAGTCCAAAGGGATAGGATCTGTGTCTGCTTTGTTCCTTGCAGTATCCTGGGACCACAGCACAGAGCCCAGCTCATACAGGACTTAATGAATGAGTGAGTGAATGAATGAGTGAGTGATCTGGCTGTATTACCAGACAGATTGTGGTAGGGGCAACAGGTGCTGTGGGGGTTTGGGAGGCTGTCTTTGCCTGGGAGGTAGGGAAGGCAGGGCAGAGCCTAAAGAAGCCTTGAAGGGAGAGTGTTGCTTCATGGGCAGGGAAGGGAAAATGACATTCCAGACTCAGCCCCTATACAAGTGTGAGGCAGACTCCTATGGTTGTCAGGTCAGAGTAGGGAGAGGCAGAGATAAGGCTGCGATTGTGGGTGAGCTCAGCCTGGGAGGAGCTCTGCATACCAAAATAAGGACTGAACCTTGTGTAGGTAATGGGGGAGCCTGGGAAGGTGTTAGGCAATCTTTCCCCACTCCCTCCCTCTTTCCGTCTCTCCCCCTGCTTTCTTTCCTCCTGGAGATAGGGAGCAAGGTCTCCAGGGGCCAGGCAGGTGCTTCTGGTTGGAAAGGCCATGACCAGGACTTGTTGGGTTCATTTGACTCAACGGACCCCTTTCTTGGCCCTGTCCCCAGATGTGTAAGGTAGAGCTAGAGTCGTAGAAAAAGGGAGACACAGTCCTCAGGGCCACTACACTCCCCAGCAGGGGTCTGGGAGCCCCTGAAGCACCCAGGACCCCAGCCTCAAAAGTGGATGCTGGAGGGAGGAGTTGAGGGAGCAGGCACCCATCAGTGAGAATGACGAGTTGATGGCACGGCTGACAAGTGTCTGGGGGTGTGCCACCTCCCTGTGCTTCTTCTGAGCTGTTTGCTTTGCCTTGGTACTCTTGAGGGGTTGGAAGTCCTCAGTCTTCAGAGCTCCAGGTTTGGGGCACAGACAGGTTCCACTTTGCTCAAAGCCAGGCAAAGGCTCCTCTCTCTGAGCAGAGGTTGCTGGGTCACAGGAGCTCAGGGTGGCACTGCACTCGGGATTCGCAGCTGCCTTGACATCACCAGTGTCCCAGGTGAAGGTACAAACTCCTGGCCTGAGGCGAGGCTGAGGGAGACAAGAGTCCACCAGGCTAGGCCAGCACTTCCCATGGGCTTAGACCCCTGCTCTCCTCCCTCCTCTGCTGACGTTTCAAATCTTTCAGAATTTCAAAACCATGGGACCTATTGGCTTCTAAGCTCCCCATCCTGCTCTTCGGGTTTAAGTTGTGCTTTCTCTCAACAGCATTCATTGAGTGCCTGCTCTGTGCAAAGCCCTGTGCTAATGTGCTAGGCTCTAGAGTCATAAAGATGAAAAATTTTCTTTTATTAAAACAGAGAACAGTCAGTCTTTGTTGCCCAGGCTGGTCTCGAACTCCTGGCCTCAACTGATCCTCCCACATTGGCCTCCCAGATACTGAGATTATAGGCGTGAGGCACCTTGCCCAGCCAAGGAATACTTTATGATGTTTTCAAGAGTCTTACAGTCTAGTTAGGGAAATCAACACAAACAGACCCTTTCAGAACAATGTAAAGACCTCAGAAGAGGTCAAATTCTAGGGGAACCCATGTGCTTTTTTTTTTTTTTTTTTTTTTTTTGAGAGGGAGTCTCACTCTGTTGCCCAGGCTGAAGTGCAGTGGCACTATCTCGGCTCACTTCAACCTCCACCTGCCGCAGCCTCCTGAGTAGCTGGGACTACAGGCGCGTGCCACCATGCCCAGCAAATTTTTGTATTTTTAGTAGAGATGGGTATTTACCAGATTGGCCAGGCAGGCCTCAAACTCCTGACCTCAAGTGATCTACCCGCCTCGGCCTCCCAAAGTGCTGGGATTACAGGTGTGACTTTTTACTATCTATAGGTAACTGCTATATATAATGTGTGATCTATAATGCATGACCCAACATTTTGTCATCTTTGCAATCCTTCTTGATTTTATTTTTTTCTGTAATATTTTGGGGTTTGAGATTATTTCCTTTGGTTTGGCTACAAGGAAGGCTAGATGTGCTTCAGAGTCTCCTTGAAATTTCTTCTGCATTATCAACCAGCTCAATCTCCTCTGAATTAGACCTTCTCATCTGGGAAAGGCAGATCTTTAACAGGTAGCTGGAAGCTACTGAAGGAAAAAGCCAAGATGTAGTTTCTGAAGAGTGGACAGGAGGGTCCCTGGCCATAAATATGTCCTTGATAAGGGCCTGAAATCCCACTCTTAGAATTTTATTTTTTTGAAGTTGTACAAGCACCCGGGAAGAATACCGCCTTAAATCCTGACCACTTATCAACTCTGTAAAGATTTGTTTATAGCCAAGGGTTCCCACCATGGGCCGAGGAAGAGCAGGGGGGCAGCCAGCTTTCCAGGCAGGCCCTAACATGTTACCCAGATTTTGAGGTTGTTTTAGTTATCCGCTGTGTAACAAACCACCACAAAACGTAATGGCTTAAAACAATGATTTATTGTTTCTCACAATGCTGTGTGTTGGCTATTTCGACAGTTCTATTGGTCTCACCTGGAGTCACTCCGATGGCTACAGTCATTGTAGATTAACTGAACTTCATCAAGGTGCAGTGGTCTCAAGGTTATGAGAAGGTGATCATAGAGGCAGGAAGACCTGTGGCTGGGCATGGTGGCTCATGCCTGTAATCTCAGCACTTTGGGAGGCCGAGGTGGGCGGATCCCTTGAGGTCAGGAGTTTTCCACTTTCTTGTGCCCTTCTGCTTAAACAACCTTTGTGCTTCAGCAAATTAAGTACAAGCCCAATAAAATGCAGCATGAATACAAGCATCAACAAATTAATGAAAATAACACACAAAGGGCAGCCTTGTCTTAGGATGGGAGGAGAAGATGCTTGTTTTTAAGGAAAGGTCTTGTCGTTTAGGATGAATATGGAAGGAGGGTCAGGGAGAAGAGCACCTGCAGACCAAGACAAAAGGAGAATTGAAGGCAAAAAAAAACCTGTGAAAACAAAAGGTGCTGGCGATGCTGACTCCTCCCCCAGCTCAGAGCTGTGTTAAGGGCTGAATGGGACAAACTGGAGTCCCGGTGCGGAGATTTCTTTTCCAGGCTGGACTGACCCACAGGGGCCATCACCCAATCGCTTGGAGGTGAAACCAGTTTAGCCCAGCCTTCAGACTTTTCTGGAAGCACTCTGTATTTTCTGAGTGATTTCTAACTCCCTGGGTGTGTGTGACCTCTTCCTTGTCACACTGAAGCCTCCTTGAGGGAGGTGTCCGGGGGGGAGAAATGGCAGTGAACCGAAGATCGGGCTCCCTGTCGATCTGGGTGACAGAGAGACTCTGTCTCAAAATACTAAATAATAAAAAAAATTCAAAGCAACGCATATACTGTAAATGAGCTTTACTAGTTTTCTTGCGGAGGGGTGAACATGGAGAGTTGGAAGGAGGAAGGAAATTTAAAAAATGGAAAGATGATCTGAATACATCCTGCCTTAGACAGCTTCCAGGTAAGTCCAAGAGACAGACTTCAACACAGACCTGGGCTAATTGCCCATATTGCTCCCTGCCCTGGGGCCTATTGTTTTCCAGATTGCGTCCTCACTTGGGACTCAGTCTTCTTCTCTCCCTCACCCCCCTGTGCAGTCATTTCAGCCCAGTTGCGGAACAGCAGAACATGAATGGAAAAAAGATTGAGTCCACACTGCAGTAGCTGCAAAAGATGATTTAAGATCTAACATTCTGAGCAGTTTCCAGACAGTTGAGGACAAAGCCCAGGCTGGGGTCCAGAGGTGGGGACTGGGCAGGAGTAGAAGCAGTCAGAAGGCAGGATCAGCCAAAGCCCTTGAAGAATGCCAAAGGGCAAACTGCAGAAAGCGAGTTCAGGTGTCAGGTCCCAAAGGCCAGAGGGAGAGGACCCAGGGGGCCCTAGAATGGAGTGGGTGCAGGTTGGGCTGGAAGTGGGAAAACCATCACCCCCACGAGTGACCAGGAGCATTCCCAGAAGGACTGCACAGGTGCCCACTGTGATGGCGTGGATGGGCTACGTCAGCACAGGTGCTCAGGCCAGAACAGACACTTCATCCCTGGCCACCCAGCCTTGGCCATGGTCCTCACAACCAAGCCCTACAAGGTAGCCCCGAGCCTAGGCAGAGGAGCCCTGGGCGTGAATGCATCCTGAACTCTGCCCATCAGCCCGGATCCATGACAAAGTTTTTGTTCATCAGCTACAAACTGGGAAAAAAAAAAACCAAAAAACAAAACAAAAAAACCCATAAATGAGTTTAGTAATGTTAATTTTTGTTTCTAGTTTAAATTCTGATATGATGGCTGTTTTACTTTTGGTGATAAGATGGCTTTTCTTTTATGAAGGCATGCTGATGGGAGGTGATAGGGCTTTTTCTGGTTGTTTGAATTGCCTCACTAGGCCGGGAGCGGTGGCTCACGCCTGTAATCCTAGCACTTTTGGGAAGCCAAGATGGGTGGATCACCTGAGGTCAGGTCGTTCGAGACCAGCCTGGCCAACATAGTGAAACCCCATCTCTACTAAAACACAAAAATTAGCCAGGCATGGTGGCAAGTACCTGTAATCCCAGCTATTTGGGAGGCTAAGGTAGAAGAATTGCTTGAACCCAGGAGGCGGAGGTTGCAGTGAGCTGAGATTATGCCATTGCACTCCAGCCTGGGTGACAGAGATGGTGTCTCAAGAAAAAAAAGAAAAGAAAAGAAAGGAATTGCCTCACTTGGCTAAATTTAAAGTTGACAATATTGCTTCCCCGACTTGAGGAAATTTTTTTTTTTCTGAGACAGAGTCTCACTCTGTCACCCAGCCTGGAGTGCAGTAGCACAATCTCAGTTCACTGCAACCTCAGTCTCCCAGGTTCAAGAAATTCTCCGACCTCAGACTCCTGAGTAGCTGGGATTACAGGCCTGCGCCACCACGCCTGGCTAATTTTTGTATTTTTAGTAGAGACAGTGTTTTTCCATGTCGGTCAGGCTGGTTTCAAACTGCCAACCTCAGGTGATCCACCTGCCTCGACCTCCCAAAGTGCTGGGATTACAGGCGTGAGCCACCGCATCCAGCCCGAAAAATTTTGATGAAGCATCAAATCCCAGTCTGGTTACCTCTGCTATAAGAAACTAAGAAATCCTGTCCCTGCAACCCAGATCCTGGCTGCCAAAATAACACCATTATCCTCGCCATCAGCAATCACAAGGACACTTATATGGCATGCACTTTGGGCCAAGCTCAGCCTCAGCTTTTGCATACACTAATGAACTCCTCCCCTGTTTTGACCTCTTGCCCACTTACTGTCTGCCGGATATCTTGATTCAGCTCTCTCTGCTCTGGGCTCTCACAGATCCCACTGTCACCTGAAAGCCAGTTCCAATGGCTCCCTTACTACAGGTTTCTGCAGGTCATATCCTGAGATTAGCTGCTGTCTTAAATGGAAGCAAAGGAAAGTGCTTCTCCACTAAGGTAGAAGGAACCTCCATTTCGAACTCTGTCACTGCTGCAAAATATCCCTTTTTCCCAATGCTGCTAGGAATCTGACCCATTGACTTCTGTGGACCTTCAGCAAATATGTGTTCCCTGGACTCTGGCTGCCTACCTGGAGGCTGACTTTGCCTAGAAGTTTGCAGGTCCCTCTCCTTCGGAGATCTGGTACCTACTAACACCCAATCACATCCTTCATTCTTTCCTAGCTTTATCCAAATGACAGTCAAGCTGCCTGAGGTTAAGGAGGATGATCTCGGAGTCCTGCATATAGATGGTGTATGAGATTTAAAGAAGGTGTGATTTTAAAAAAAGAAAGTTTGTGGGACCCTATTTATTTTATGTTACTTAAAAAAGAAGAACCAGGATGCTGAAAACGAGGCTATTGATTATAAATAAGAAGAAAACGCTAGTCGGTTGAAATAGCCAGTATGGTCTTGGTCATTCATAAGGAAAGAATGGCCCCTATCCTGGGAGCTGGCTTTAGAAGAATCTACTGTGGCAGAACTGGTCAAATCCTCCACCATCTAGTACCTACAAGCTTTCAATTTCCTGCCAACAAGGCACCAAGGTCTGCCTGAGCCTTGACGTCTAAAAAGCTCATAATTGGCCAGGCGCGGTGGCTCATGCCTGTAATCCCAGCTCTTTGGCAGGCTGAGGCAGGCAGATCACTTGAGGCCAGGAGTTCAAGACCAGCCTGGCCAACACGATGAAACCCTGTCTCTACTAAAAATACAAAAATCAGCTGGGTGTGGTGGCTCGTGCCTGTAATCCCAGCTACTCAGGTGGCTGAGGCTCAAAAATCCCTTGAACCTAGGAGGCAGAGGTTGCAGTAAGCCGAGATCGAGCCTAGGTGACAGAGTGAGACTCCGTCTCAATAAATAATAAATACATAAATAGCCCACGATTAAGCCAGGCATGCTGGTCCATGCCTGTGCTCCCAGCTACTCAGGAGACTGAGGCAGGAGAATCCCTCGCACCCAGGAGTTCAAGGCTGCAGTGCACAATGATTACGCCTGTAAATAGCCCTGGCAATATAGCGAGACCTCATCTCTAAGAAATAAAAGCCAAAAGGTCCACAATCTGACTCACCAAAAGGTGTGTGTTCGAGGCATTATCTGCAGTGCCTGGCTGGACCTACTGAAGCCTGGGGAAAAAGGAAAAATCAATAATACAGGTTCTGTCTTCATTGATTATTTTGATATTTTGCTTCTCATGGATTTTTTGCACTAATTTGGATGTTGAAAATATTGCATTAAAATATTATTTATCTGGAGTATTGGGTTTTTTAGGCACTCCCTTAAATTTTGTGCCTAAAGTGAGGGCCTCACTCTCCTTGTCACAGTCTTGGCGCAGTGATGTCTACAAAGGCTAATAAGATTTACCTGTTACCAAGCTCCTACTCTAATAAACATACTTAGCTCATTAGATTAGCTAGTTGATACCAGCCCCATCAGCTCACATCATTGCTTCCCTGGCCCTTGTTTATCCAGAAAGTAGAGTCCTGCCTCAAAGTTCTTAGCCAGTGGCCATGGCTGTACTCTTCACTGCCAAACCCTTTCCAGACCCTTATACTGACTGCCTGGTTGGGCCTCCCACCGACGCTGTCAGACCCTCTGAACACTATGCACAACCCTAGGAAGGAGCACTAGGTTCCACCTAACTCTGGGTCCCTGACACTAACTCCCCAGCCCAACTGGACTCTTTCCCATTTATCGAGTCTGAGTCTCCTGAGCTTCATTCCACCCTCCCAGAAGTTTTTCCTTTACTGCTTGCCTCCTGGTCAGGTCTTCCCTGAAAAAATTCCCCACCTGTGTGTGAATCTTTCTGATTTCTGGGTCTCATGCCTCCCCTAAGCAATGCAAACCTTGAGTCAAGTACTGCGCTCTTGCCCCAGGCCTGGGATTGTTACGTTAATAACCACTGAGAGCATACCATGTGCCACTGACCCGTGCTGTCCTTGTGTTAACACACAGGCACCTCATCGTAACCCTATGAGTAGATACTATTGTCATCTCCACTTTACAAATGAGCAAACCAAAGCCCAGAGAGGCAAAGTTATCTGCCCAAGGTCACACAGCTAAGAAGTGGCAGAAATGGGCTATGAACTCAGTTTCTAGAGCCCAACTCTTAACTATCAAGTTACCCAGCTTCTCCTTACAGTCTAAGAAGTCCTGCATGGAAAGTGTAGAATCAGATGAGACTCAAATTCAAATCCCAGATGTTCGGTTTATGAGCTCCGTGGCTGTGGGGTGTCACTTTAGTTCTCCTGGTCTCAGCTCCCTCATCTTGCATGGCTTTGTAAGAAGTGACATTAGACCCGCAGTACACAGACACAACCATCACCCCCAACCTTTCCTGCATGAAAATCCTAGCAACCACAAACATGCTGTGAGCAGGGCCTAAGGCACTTAATTCCACACTCTGGAAATGTCAGTAACAGCTGAAAAAAATAAAGCCAG